CATCTCTGCTTTTCCTCTTTGGCAAATGTCAGCACTCACATTTGTCAACTGAAGGAGAAGAAGTAATATTTATGAAATCAAAGGCACCAACAAGTTAAAGATGTCATCACCTCCTCTGTAGGATAAGAGCCTATTATTTACCTCCACAGCAGTTCTGCAGGATCTTAGCACTCCTGTTCCTGTGGCATACATCTCGGCCAGATAATAAACGGCAAGGGGTTGCCCACTTTGAGATGCCAAGTAGAAATATTTGAAGGCAAGTTTATAATCCTTCCATACTCCAGAGCCAGCTGAAAATTAACATAATGTTGAATCACCTCTATTCAGTTTATTTTTATATTATAATCTATGGATTTATAGTTATAGTGAGGCCTACTATTTTTAAATAGGACAAGAAAAGCCAAAAGAAAGTCAAACTGCTCTAGAACCACACTACTTGTAGAAAAAAGTGATGTTCAGTTATCAGTAAAAATGGTGGAAATTTATGTTCTTGACCTATTCAGAAAATTGAGGAAGAGGACTTCTCAGCCTTATGAAAATATCCCCTTAATGTGATTTAACTACCATTTTGTAAAGAAGCCCAAGTGGTAATCTCTGAGGACCAGAAGCTCCACCATGAGGTATGTTGCTATTCTAACCATCTTTCTATGCCATGGGACCAGAGAGCTCTTCCCAGTGGTAACTATGGAGTTTGGAGCAGGTAAAGTCCGTCTCTAGGAGGCCCTGTTCAGGTCAGATTTGTGCTTTGAGCCCTTTGGGGGCAGTGTTGTTGTTGTTGTTGTTGTAATGTGCCGTGGAGTTGGTTCCGACTCATAGCGACCCTCTACAAGGTTTCCGAGGCTGTAACTCTTTACGGGAGCAGAAAGCCTCATCTTTCTCCTGCGGAACAGCTGGTAGTTTTGAACTGCTGACCTTGCGGTTCGCAGCCCAATTCATAACCACTACGCTACCAGAGCTCCTTGGGGGGCAGTAGGGCAGAGAAAACACTGGCTTGAGAGTCAAGAGATTCTCATAAACTAGGATTCTTGCTCTGGCATCCTCATTACTCCTCTTGTGAGTTGAGCATATTATTATGTATTTATTTTTACTTTTTGTTGTGAATTGAGTGAAGGTTTACAAAACAGATCTGCTTTTTCCACTCAACAATTCATTTACATTTTGTTTCCTGTCATTGATTGCAATCTCTATAATCCCTTATCCCACTTTCTTCCTAAAGTTTCCTGTTTCCATTCTCTTTTCATAATAACCCTTCTGAATTTCACCCTAGGATAAATGCTGCCCTTTTGATCTCAAAGGCTTGATTATTCTAAGGTGTAGATACCTCTCTAGTGTTATTGTTCCTCTTTTAGATCTGTCTATAGTTTGGCTGAAAATCGAGTCACAGGTGTGAATTCATTTCCAAACCTAAAGGGTAACTATGCACCATAATCTCAGGGGTCCCACTAGTCTATATCTGATCAGTAATCCTGGTCTTCTTTTATGATTTTGAGGTTTGTTTCACATTTTTCTCCCATTCTGTCCAGAATCTTCTAATGTGATATCTTTCAGAGAAGTTGGTAGTGGTAACAGCCGAACACATGAACTATTTGCATCAACCAGGGACTTCTAAGATGTGTAAAAGCTTGTGTTTGGTATTATTGTTATGCTCATTCTAGAAGCTTGAAGAATCTTGATGCTAGACCTAGGATTTAGAATGAATTAGAACAAAGCCATCTTGTTGTTGTTGATTCCAACTCACAGTGACCCTATAGAGGGTTTCTGAGAGTGACTGGTGGGTTTGAACTGCTGAT